TCGGGAGTTTGGAGATCATTTGATATGTCGGGAGAATCCAGACGAATCCCGACCACCTGGCAACCCTAAGCGCAGTGCACACAGGTTGCCCGCCTTTTCTACTAAGTTAGCCCATTTGGGTTGGTAATACAATCTTATCTACTTCAGTTGGCAAATAGCAATGCAAATAGCTTGCTCTGTTGTGTTTGGCTCTGAAGTGTTATAGACAGACTGTATAATTACAGGCTATGATCCCTCATATACACTATCTTAGTCCTCAGGGCTGATAACGCATCTGTTGCCTTCGTTGTTTGAAGTTGACTGGTGTCCATGGAATGCTGCAGCCACTTACCATCAGGTGGCCTGTAAGTTTGTTGGCCACTTCAGTTATATAAACAAGGCCCTGATCCCACTGCTGTGTTTGGTTTAAAAAATGAAAGAACGACTATAATTATAGGCTATAACGTATTAAATATTTAGTCTTCAGGGGCAACAATCTCTGGCTTTTTTGTTTGAAAGAGATCTCATTTTTCTCTCAAAAGTGACTTAAACTTTTTGAAAGTTATCAAATAAAGCAGCTCATTTCTTTCCACTCCTTTCCGTTCTCTACTATAGAGAGTTGTTCTTTTATCGGTCAAATAATTAACACTTACACATTTTACCGTTCGCCATCCCCTTTATAGGAGGCAAACATAGAATACTGTAATACATACATAATAGAACGGGGAAGTGGGCGGAGCCCGTGTAGTCACTAAAATGTCACTAACATGTCGATTCACATGTATAACTGTCAACACGAGATGTGTTTTAATGTTACACTCGTTTCCAAATTTCGAATGCGAATTATTCAGAAAATGCCAAATGGCACACTATTTACAAATAAATATGTATTAAAATTTTAACGGTTTTTATAATGATGATCTTGAACATTAACCAAAAGTCTAAAATGTTTAAATTTACTAGGTCTGTCATCGGGTTTGTAGTAGTGATAATACGATGTAATTGCTTATATGTGTGCTCCCGACGACGCCGACCCTCGTACAAAATAAGGTTGACAGCTATTCTATTGTGTATTATAGTATTCTATCGAGGCAAAGGAAATAACGCTATGGCGCGGCGTTGCGTTTTTACCCTCTCAATAAATAAATTATTCCGATTCTATTTTTTTTTAATGAATGTCGAATGAGAATGTCAAATTCTGTGGGATGAACACATGGGACAGTTTTTAAGTGGTAGAGCCGTACTGCAGTTATATTATGGTTGTAGCCCAAATGCTCGACCGGATTAGGACTACGCTCTCACAGAAAACCAGCTTAACATAACAGCGCAATATTGCTGTGTATGGTGTGTGTATGGAACCGGAGACCCGTTTTACTAGAAACTAGGCATACCATTTTATCCTCAGGGGTGATAACGCATTTGAATTTTGATTCTTAATCGAGGAGAGATGTAGATGTCAATGAGTCGCAGCATCCACATACCATCAAGTGCTCGTTTGTCACACTTTTTCTATAAATAAAACAAAAGCTTTCATATTTTAAGATCAAAGATGCGTGTTAATAATACTTACTCAGTTTTATCAACTCTCATTGTTTTCTATTTGTTTACAATACTCTTGTTGTGGTAATGAGACACGCCCTCCACAAATATTTTGTTTAAAAAGAACTGAATCAAATTGCTCTACTCATGGCCATGGAAGTTGAACCCACAATGCAGAATAATGGGGAACTATGATCGTGAGCCCACGTTGAAACTTTTTTTAAGCATCGCACCGTCACGGGTAACTTGATGTTGACGCTGGAAACACCGCCAGCCGCCAGTCACCTGTTAGCGTTCGATCGATGCGCGCGCGCCGCTCTTTATTTATTTAATCGAGATTTTATATACGAAAACGACTTTCGATTTTTAAAAAAAACTTTTTTTACGAAAAAAATTTGTTTTGTAAGTGCTGGCTGGTATGTGACAGTGTTGTGACATTACGGTTTCGATGCGTTTACCGGTATCATAAACACCGGTGATAGTAACGGATATCGCATTGTTGTTTCGCATTGGGAAATTGTCAATTAAAAAAAAACGTAAACCATACAGGAAAATCGTAGTTCAACGTGCTAATTTTCGGTTAATATCGGTCTTGTATAAAGATGTAATTGTCTTTGAATAGATGTTCAATAAATAAATACAAAAAAAAAGCAAATCGTGATACCTTGTATTGGTACACCTTTATAAAGCGCTCTAAATAACTTTTTAATTTTGCAAAATATCTATGTTAGACTATAGCATCATAGATTTTTAATATTTTGCTTTTGGATTTCAAAAGCAATCCCCCCCCCGCGCAGCACGAAACAAGAAATCAAAAAAATAGATTAAAGGATTTTTGCCGTGCTATTAAATACGTCAGAACTAGAATAACTTGAAGGTCTAAAAAAGAAAGACTAAAATGGCAGCATTGTAAAGCCAAGGTAAACGAGTATAGCATACAAAATATATCAGAAGATAACTATATCTGTAACTCTTGCACAGATTACGTGAGATTCAATATACTTATTACAGTTATAACGTCACTGAAGAATTCTTTGCTCTTAATTACAATAACAACAATTACAAAGGCAGATTGTTGGTGCCCATATAAAGTAATGCAAGGTCTACGTACGTGGGCGATCGTGGTCGGGTACTTCGAACACCTTCCCTCATAAAAACTCAGTTACCTATGTTATTGTCACCCACACGGATAAACCCTGAATATTTAATTACCAGTATGATGTATTGATTAGTGAACTTATTAAGCTACATGACTACGCCTACAGTTGAAGCCTTAATGATGCAGGACACGCTCTTGTTGACGTCTGTAGGTAGCCGCAAAAAGTATAATAAATTATTTTATCAAAGCAGAACTACGTGATCGTAAAACCAATTCATAGGTTATCCATCGATAGAGCTTTTGTTGTCGTTCTATAATTTCAAATTTCTTTTAAGTGTTATTAGAATATAGTACGTCACGATTTTCCATAGAGTTATTTTATTATTTACAAGAACTTTTTGAAATATTGTGATCGAATAAATTTAAAACTATAATTCACTAAATACATATATATAAACACAGAATATTTAGTGTACACATTTTGTTTAAAACACCTTTTAACAATGCTTGGTGATCAAATCCTCATATCATTGCCTTTGAAACATACTTCTTTGACGACGGTCATAAATATAATAGTAATTGCTTATTGTTCATAACTAAATTTGTATAAAATTAGAGTGGCAGACGAGCTAACAATACACCTGGACTATTGCAGGCTAGGGACACAACACACTTCAGACAAAAAAGGCTACCGATGTTTTGCTATTCCTGAGGACTTAGATTAAATGCCTTAAAGCCTTAAATTAAACTGGTTTTCTTAAGATTAGAACGCTAAGATATAAAGGAAAATCCTTATTTTTAAGCTGTTTCTATGGTACCAAAACATACATACGTTACGTTTAAGGATAAGGCTATATAAGGCTATTTTTAAAAAGGCAAAATTTTGATTTTTTAATCCACGTAGCCAGATAAAAGTATATTTAATGTATGAATAAAATTAATTAGTACATTTAACGTTTTTAAATTATATTTACTTGCTGGAATTAATTAACAATCACCGTTTCTTGTTATGCTAATAAAAACATTTGCGTGCAGCAGTTACGAGTACGTTGGTCAAGACATTACTGCGATTGGGCCTGGTTGGAGTTATATTTTCAGAGTTAGAATAAATTACTGATGAGGTCTTTCGTATTGGTGTAAAATATTCTTTTCTAAAATTCAAAAGATTGAAGCCAATAAGCAAATTTTAATTGTCATCTTAAATACTTATTTAATATGTAAAATGATCAATTAATGTTTTTAACATTTCTTTGTTTCTCTCACATCACATCAGTATCTCATACTATCTTATTGCCTCAGCACTTAATGACGTCCGGTGGAAGGGTCCGGATATTCAATACGTCAATGTACTATATATGGTATCACTAACGTGCCTAATCCGATGTTACAGAGTTAATTTATTAAGACGTTTCAAAGTGACAGTCCATAAGAGTGTCCTTTTAAATCTTAATACATATATAATTTACTTGTCACATTGTTTGTCTGCGATGGACTCCTAAACTACTTAACCGATTTTAATCAAATTTGCATACCGTGTGCAGTTTGTTCCAACTTGAGAGATAGGATAGTTTTTTTTTTCCCATGAGTGACCCACAATTTTTTTTTTGTTAATTTAAGTATTTTTAATAAGACATGACGAAGGGTCGTCGAAAAGGGCAGAACAACGTCTGCCTGGCAAGCTAGTATACTTTTAAATATTGTAAAAGATCGTCGTTTCAGGTTGATTAAATTCAGAAACGTCAACAGTTACGAGTATAGTACATTATAATAATTGAGTATAGTAGACACGACCGTTAATAAATAAATTATCATCACATGATTTCAATTTGCTTCTTTTGTCTAAAAAAATTATAATTGTAATCCATTTTAAGTTAAATTAAATTTTTAGTATATATAACTATACAAATTAGACGGTTCATCGTCATTCATGTCGTGACAGCTCTTAACAATTCTACTGCTGAAGATAAGCCCACCCTTGCAGCAAAAATTATCCTGATCCTGAGCCTCCGGTTTTGATTGACTTCCTGCATGTCTTACCAGGTCATCACTAATCTAAGCAAATCAGAAGATTATTATCACATCATTACACTTTATTCTCATATTTTAACAATTCTTAAAACTTTAACACTTCTCTCTTCGTATTTCGATTAATAGTATTCAAAAACCAAAGTATCTTAATGTAACATATTGGCAATATCCCACTTCTTATCGCCTTTTGTGCACCAAACCTATTTACAAGTTTTGTCACATGTAACGGTAAAGCGACAACGGTACGCGTATCGAATCCGTAATAAGGAACAGCTAATGTTGTTGCAGTGTGGAGAGTTATCCAAACGGTATTATGTTAAACCACGGCCTCTAAAGAACTAAGAACGAATCAAGAATGTCGATGTATAGGTTCGTCAAAGAAGGCAGCAGCAAGCGCCTGTTTGTCCAAGGCACTCTTGAAAGCGATGATTCTAAACCTTTAAAGTCGAGCTTGAAGAAATCATCACCGTCTCCCGTAGGATCACCAATCACAACGAGTCTTAATCTCGCTTCAGTACCTAGAAGTTTACGGGAAGGTTTGACAAGACATGAAACGGTGTACGATGGTAACTATCCAGGAATGGAAAGGTCATCGAGCTATCGTTCGGACTCGTACAGGGAAGATAATTACAATGGTAGAATCGTCCATGACGGAAATCAGACTCATTTCGAGTACGACGCGGGAGAAAGTGCTTTAGCTGTGCCGTTGTCGGCCGGCGGAAGAGGTATATCGGAGCTACAGGCGATTCACACGAACAAACGCATGTCGACCGAGGTCCTTGGCTCTTCTTTGGAGTCGACAAAGATCTCGAAGAAAGATGATAGCGGCCAAAGGCGAATAACGACAAGAATAGTCAGGAAGGTGACCACATTGACCCGCGGCGAGGAGAAAGCTTCTGCTGAAGACCTAGCTAGAAGAGGAAGAGAAGTGCACAGATCGTCAGAACATTACAGACATGTGGAGATGGAAAGACATCCTAGAAAAGTAAAGGTACTGAAAGTTAAAACTTGTATTCGCTTACATTAGTTATCTTACTAAGAGCTTCATCATCTTGAATATGTTTATACTTATAAAACACAGCTAAAACTATGATTTTTATTGTAAATTCTTGTATTTCTACATGATTAGGGTAATTTGTTGTGGATGTATGTCCAGCTGCGGAAGGAATACATTGTGTTAATAGTGGTCAAGTCATGTCTCCGCGATGCATGTTACATGCGCTTTTATCGGCTACGTGCCGGTTTGCACCAGTTACATGCATTGCCGCATTTACGGATGCAGAATTTTAATTAAAATAAATCACTTCTTTAAATAAATTTCCTTTTGAGATGGTTAAGATAGTTAAATGTTGTACGTTATTCTAAAACTTCCTTATCGAAATTGTTATCTTAAAGTAGATGTTACGAATTCATGTAATAATTCATTTTTCCTTGTACTTTACTGTATTTCTACATTTATTCCGGCTTTATCTAATTCTTAATGATGATGCCTTTTTGATGAGGCCATAGTCCACATGGTTGTAAGTTAATGCTGTGGTCCATAGACATCTCAATAACGAGCCAAAATGCTAATGAGTATTCACACCGATGATTAAAGTAAAATGCCTCGTTATGAGGAATAAAGGTTTTTCGTATCTATTCGTTGTGGTTTTTCCAAGGTCAATATAATACTTAATTACTTGATTGAGTTTTGTCAAATATATATGTTTGACTGCTTTTCAGTTTTTCAATTTCTCTACAATTTAGTTTTTTTACAATTTATTTTAGAAAGTTTTAGTTTGTTTATCAGGATTAGTACATCTGACAAATTACCGAAAAATTATTCTGCTTGAATTATATTAATATCAAAAATTGCCGGCTTTATAATAGGCGGAGAAAAATTCATCCTTCATTATCATTAATCCATGGACAACAGTATTCACTTACCATCAAGTAGACATGGTTTTGGTATGGTATTCTATAAAAAAATGCCGTATCTGGTAGATCCACTATTTGATAAAGTTATAATAGTCTCTAGTCTCCCATTGTAAATTTTAGATGAATCGCCTTTCATCTTTAATTGAAGTTAAGTCGTAGGATGAATGCGATATCATGCAGATGGAGGCTGAAATTGCCACTTGATGTCGAAGCATCGACCGACCGTATATAGATCCGATTTAACTCTCACTTTGAGACCTGGGCATATTTTATTAGAGTGCGTATTCTTGTTCAAGATCATTATTTATATTCTATTTATGATTATCGTTACGTGTTATTTGTTGTACTATTGCTTGATATGTTTAATACAATTAATTTACATCAAGAATATTACTTCAAGAATATTGAATTATAATAATATATGAATATGTATACGACGACTCCCTATAACTTATGTTATACTAACTCATATTTTCGTCGTATAAAATATTTAATTATTATAAAAACCAACTTGAACCTACATATTTTCAATTTTTGTAATTCATAAAGTGAAACAAATAATTCTTATAATTGTAATGCATACAAATTGTCTTGATAACGTTTATCAAATCTTTTATGACAACGCTTTTGCACTTTGATTCTTTACCAATGATAGAAGTAGATATCTATGGACCACAGCTGCTACCATCAGGTGGACTTTTTGCTTGTTTGTCACTCGTATACTATAAAAATAATCTTACTTAAAACCTTAATGTAGATTCGCTAAAAGTAATATTTCAACGTGGTAATTCCCATCGTTGCCTGAAGCGGATTGCATTGCGTGCGCGCATGCCGAGGTTCATTTTAGTTTATTTCTATGCAAATGGCAGAAACGAGGCGCGCACGACTGTTGACCTATACAGCCTTGATGACGTCACCATTTATCGATGGTTATGTCACACGAATATTTAGCGGTGTGTGTCATGTTCGAGTAACTCAATGGGTAATGATGAATGTCAAATGATTGGGAAGTAACATTATCCTTATTCTAATGCCAAAGTCAATTTTTGGATTTTAAGATTATCTTTGGTTTCAATCCGTTGCATCAACAACAACAAAATTGTTGTACATCATATTGTCATCATTAACGCAATATTAAACACCTCTTTAATATTGCGTTAATTATGACATTAGAAAATTACTGTAATTTATTGAATCCTAAACACGAAAGTGTGATTGTGAAATTTATGACGTGTGGAGCCAAGCTGCAGGCTACATTATGGTTGTAGACAGTGTTGTACCTACATTGGGTCGCCTCGACCGGGGTAGGAACACGCTCACACAGAACACCAGCATAAAATAGCAGTTTCGTGCTACTGTGTTTCGTAGTGAGTGTAGAGAACAGAATACGTTTTTTACTAGAAACTAGGCACTCCATCGTAGTCTTTAGGGGTGACAACGCACCTACATTTTGATTCTTTATCTAGGATAAATGTTGATGTCTATGATGATGATGAGATGGCCACAGCATCCACTTACCATTAGGGTGAACTGTATGCTCGTTTGTTAACTATAAAAAAATCTAAGTAGCATCAGTACTTTATGTGCCTAATGAACTGAATAAGTCAATAGATACAACCAGATGTGTACTTTAGATATTTAACTCTTAAGCTTTTAATTTCATCTTGAATAATTTTTAAATATTCTTACGACCTCTAACTACCATGCAAGGCTATTTGAACATTATTTATGTAGATAGATATTTAGTGTTTTATGTTAATAAACCAATTCTTTTGATATATTGGGCTTTAATATTTTTGAGGTCGTAAGTAGTTTAAAACTCATGTAGTAGAAAGAGGTCAGTACGTAAGGACACTAGGTGTGTTTCTCGCAATTTAAGGCCTTGTTGAGAAATAATTAATTAGCGAATTTTGTTGTGTTAATATAATAGGACGAGATATTGATTGCCCGGTTTGTATCGTTTAGATGTTTTAGTTTATACTTTCCTAGAATCTTACGGCGTTCAATCGTTTTTTCTAGTATTAGATGATATTAAATTATTTTCATTGTCTTTTCTATAGTTCAAATAGTTTCATTACAAAAGAGTCGATCGCATTCTTTTATATTGAAATGAGACTGGTCTTTAAATAATATTCTTTTTTGCACACATGTAGTATGTTCAAAAAGATCCTTTTACCGACCATTGCTACAATTACCCCAATAAAACCGGTTTTTATGAAATTAACGCAGGCTAAACGTCTTTTGTTATAATATGTGCAATTTTAGTAACCTTTTACAAACAAAAATTTCTAATCTACCATAACATTTTGAAAATCTATCACCTATAATAAAATATATACTATTGAAGATAGTTTGAAAATGTTTAGCGTTTAAAGTTCAAGTCTTGAAATAACTAAGAATAATGTCAGCGGGGTCGCCTGCTTCGTTCCTTGTGTATTATCGAATGTACTATGAATTTAAATGGCAATATAACAGTTTAGGTTTTGTATTATATATATTTATACGTTGTAGAGCCACGCTGCAGCTATATTATGATTGTAGCACGAATGGGTCGGCTCGACCGGGGCAGGACCACGCTCTCACGGAATACCAGCGTAAAATAGCAGCGTAATGCTGCTGTGCTTCGTATGGTGAGTGTAGAGATCCGGTTACCCCTTTATACTGGAAACGATGCTTTCCATCTTAATCCTCAGGGGTGACAACGTATCTGCGTTTTGATACTTAATTGGGGATAAATGTGGATGTCTATGTCACAGTATCCACTTACCATCAGGTGAACTGTGTGCTAGTTTGTCACTCTTATTTTATATAAAAAATATGCAGGTATTATGTCTGTCTGTATTTCTTAAGTACTGTACAGTAAAGCTTGATCGAGTTTTCATATTTTATACCATTTTAAAACTTAAGGAAGCACAGCTAAGTACACTGCCATCACTGTCACTAACAGTATCACATTAGGATAGTGATGACGTTGTACACTTATCAACATGACTAATGCGTAATAAAATGATTGATATAATTGTAGCGGCGCTGTCGTCGCGCCACTAGCACACCGAAACACACCGAAGCCTAAATCGCGCTATTAACGTTCCGAATCATAGACAGTGTATATTAGAACTCCTCCGAACTATTACGGAGTGTCGGCCGCTCCCCGGGCAGAACACCTTGCCCGGCGGGAGATCTCCCCTTTTCCTTCCATGGCCACATAATATTTAACTGCTTCATTCATAAGCAATGTTCTATTTCCCTAAAGCTATTTTCATATTTTTTTCTATTTGTGTGTTTTTATTTTAAAAATTGTAGATTCCCTTTTTTCATGAATTATTTAAATCCAGCGAGATATGATTAATATCTGAAAGTGCATTCGGATGTTACTAACTTTCCACACATTATATATTGTATCTCTATCATCTATTAAAATTGTTTTCTGTATTCAAATTTCTGCATACAAATAGGTCAGCCATTTCAGCACCGTGCAAGTCCCACGCTGTTTACATTGTGCAGTAATTGCATCGCCTGGGAAAGAACGTTCATTCTAGATTATATTGTTACAAAGTTTACAAAATTGTCGCCTGCAGTTGTATCTGCATATAAATAATATCTAATGAGTAGAGTCAGGCGTTACTGTTGAAACCCCTTAATAAGGTTGTTAGAAATTCATTTGCTAAGATCCGCTTACTGAAATAAGATGATGTGTCTTACTTAGTTTGAAGAGCAACTCCCGTCCTCCTTCAATTGCGTGCACTATCCCCGTCACCACTAATCCCAGCACCACTACTACGCTGGGTGCTATTCAAACTATGTATGACACATCATTTTAGTTTAATACGTTGATCTTAGGAAATTAATTTTTAAGATCCTTAGTTCAAGTAAAATCTGTAAAATATTTTGAATTGATGTTAAGTGAAATCGTGAGATAATGGAAAATTAGATGTCTATTCTATTCAATTGATAAAACAACTAATGCAATAATTTTGAATTTATGTTTGGATAATAAATGTGCAAAATTTTTTTATTTGATTACCGATGTAATGGCTACAAAGAGTGAATATTGCATATCCTTCAATTTATTAC